CCATTCTTGTATCGATGCTATTCTTTGGCATCTACTGCATAAGTTACACTAATATGGAATAAAAAAAAACATTTATTCAACAATGAAGATTGAAGAATAACAACAACGATGAAGATAAAACCATTCTATTCTACCTGGAATTGAAGATCGAGTAAATAGAATAAGAAGAAGATCATGGGTTAATTCACACGTTTTATTGATATGATAGTAAAAAGTTAAGAAGAAGAGTGATCGAAAATAGTTAGCTTATGAAATGGATAGACCGTTCGTTGATAACGAGCAAACGAAAAAAAAAAGAAGAAGAAGCAAGACAGGTAAATATTGCGTGATCGGGACTAAAGAAGAGTAATTAAGACAAACGACATTTTCTTTTTTCTTTCTATCCGACAGCTTACATCATAGTAGTCATTGCTCGTCACTTACTTATATGAAATTGGATGCTTTTTTTCTTTCCTACTCTCTGTTCATCTATTTTGTGAATCGAATTTGTTGATATGTTAGTATCATGATATTAAATGATATGAAATTTTGACAGTTTTTCTTTTGTGTATGTCTCTTCTTCTTCTTCTTCTGCAATATAATGATTGTTGTGTTATATTTTATAAGAATCAAAATTAAGTCAACCAAAAGAATTCCCTTGAGTTTATACACATATAATCGACATTTGACATTATAATATAAAGACAACCAAATGTTTTCTCTTATATTGAAAAGAAAAGAAAAGAAAAATTCATTTTAGGTACATCCTTCTGGGAAAATAAATGAATATTTGAGTAAGTTCTTTTGTTTTTTTTTTTTTGTCTTGTATGTCATAAATCCAATTATGGAAGAGCATAACTGTCAAAAAACAAAAAAAATATATTTCATACTTAACTTTAATCTTAATAAAAGTTGATTAGTAAATATGAGAAATAAACAGAAGAAATGAAATTATTTTATAGATATAGAAATAATACTTATTAATAATTAATATTTTTATATAGACTAATAGTAAAAATAAAGATCTACATTTCTACATTATTCATCTGCATTAGTCTATATTATCTTGATCTTCTCTTCTCTTTGAATACTTAACCATCTAATACATATATAAGAATAGATACAAAAAGTAGTGATAATAGAACACAAAAAAGGAATCCAGAAATAAGATTCGAAATAATCGTCTTGATTATTCACAAATAATTACATTCATTGAATTCATTTATCGAATGTTTTTATACTCTTATTTATTCAACGAGTTCATGAAATCATCATTCTCACTAGCCTCAAGAATAAAGAGAAGATTGAGATAATATGAACAAATGTTATCGTTATCAGATGAACAATGTAGAACTTTATTTTTACTATTAGTCAATATAGAAAGAAAATTTCCTCAAGTCATCTATACAAAATTGAGATAGGACCGCTACTACTTTTGATATGCTCTAAGTATATTTATTTTGTTCAATAGAATGTATATTTCGACAATAATTTTTTTATTTTATTTCTGGAACATTGAATGATTGGTGAAAATTCAATTGGATGTCGTAAGATTCACATGGTATCCAAGTCTCAAGTTTATTTGCAGTACCGCAGTGCTCATAAGAACTGACGGTAGCCGCTTATGACTTTCGGTTTCAACTATAAATGATTGAAGAATGTGTTTTCTATTCAAATTTGCTGAGACGAAAACAGTTTCAGAATATATTTTACTAATAAAAATTTATCTCATAACTGCAGCTCCGACTGATACAATTACACCATGATAGAACACTTTTTAAAAAAAAGCTGCCGATATAGCGCATATTATATCGATCGGTATACCAGTGATAGTTGTCATTGGAGTATGATCTTAAGAAATCGTACAAATATCTTAATATAAAATTCTTGGAAAATCTTATAAGATTATAATTTTAGATCTCACTTATAGTTAGAAAAAAAACAAGGTCATAGAAGCTGAAAATCAGGCATGTAACATTGTGGTTTTATAATGGAGTTGTTTAATCTGGGTATTTTCAATGTATTTTTGTTCATCTCGGAGTCATTGCATTATTTTTTAAAAACAAGGATACATTGTACCACACATATGTGTCTTATAATTATGATATTAGAGTATAATGAATGCTTGTAAGCACTAATGAAATTAAAATTTGTTGTCTAAATGCTATAATCGATGATATACAACGCATAATCCTTTTTGGTGGATTTTTGAATAAAATAGTACAAGAAAAAAAAAACATTACAATTTTTTACTTATGGTATTCATATGATTTTATCTTGTGATCTATTATCTAAATCAATAAGTTCACCTTGTTTATAAAACTTTATTCCTACTGCAGTTTTTTTTTTTTTTGTAGATTCATTCGGCCATTCCAAACATTCAACTGAATTCTCATGTTAAGTGTAAAATATATATATATATATGTGATCGAAATTTCTAATTCTAAATCTTAGCCTCAATCAAATCTGTGTCTAATTGTGCGAAAAATAATTAACTAATTTTATGTCTTTTATTAGAGATATTCTTTTCAATTAACACTTCTTTTCCTAGAAAGTCTTAGTATCATTGAACCAACTTGAATGTTTTCTTTTTATTTTCAAAATAATTGTATGTTAATACTTAAATGAAAACAGAACGATATATATATACCACCAACATAAAACCATTATTAATTGAAATATGATGCGTACTTTATTCTATGTTACATTGAGACAAGAGTTCAATACATATATTACATCTATGCAAACATAACACATGTATCGTGCATATCGCTTGCTATATTTTAACAATTACTTGTTGTTTTCATACTATTAGATAGCAGAATAATACTTGGATATCATTAAGAATCTATCAGAAAAAAGAAAGAAATGTCAATAAAAATCAAATTCTAAAATTATATTGAATGTCATTTGACGAATCGATCAAATGATTTTTATTTTAAAATTTGTTAAATTTAAATTAAATGCATTAATAAAAAAAAAATCTTTCTTTCTTTCTTTCTTTCTTTCTTAAGTATTAAATTTCATGAACGAACAATATTCGATTTAAATTCAATACTTTGACTGATGTAATGAAATGATACTAAAGTTATAAAATACCATCAAATAATCGATGTTATTTTTAAAGAAAAAAAGCTTATTGAGAAATAAAGACAGAAGATTGTTTGTTATATAATATTGAATGAAAAATAGAGTTATTGGTTCTTTTATCGAATAGGAAAAAGATTTAAATAGAAATCTATTACTACATAATCATGATTACTTATTCATATATTTTCTTTTTCAATTATTTTTTTGTTTAGAATACACTAAAACAAATAATCATTCCTGAACTTTGATCTCATGGCTGAATGATATTATTGTAATAAGAAGAAACAACAAATTCAGTTTTATCATTTATAAAAAACATTTCGTTTAAATCAACTTCTTTTGTTTAATAATTTTATATATTTTCTTTTTTTCAATTTAAATTAAAATAAAATAAAAAAAAGAAATCTTCATAAAATATCATCATATTGTAGCGAGTAACGTACGATGAATTCCTAGTTCATTACAACGTCTTAAAAAAAAATACTGATCGATTTCGAGACTTTAAGTGTCATGTGTCTTCTGTTTATATCATTATTACGCTATTTAAAACATCGTCTTAAGTACTCGAAGCTCATAATTAGATACGCCCATAATTTATTTAGTATATCAAAAGAAGAATAATTTTGAAATAAAATAATTCGAGTTTTTTTTCTTTTCACATATTCGTGTTTGGTTGTGGTTGTGAATTTACTTGAGGATGAGATATGGATGTAGTCAGGGTACTCATTTAACCCGAATTTCATCTTCTATGTCATCCGACATTCTCAGTGATCAACGAACAATACAATTGTATCTTTACCAAGAATGCTAATGGAATGTGTCACAGTACCATCAACCGATGCTGAAAGTTTCCTTAGAAAATGTTAAACTTATACTGAATTAAATATTTAGAGACGTAAGCCGCCACCGCTGCGGATTTTTTAAAAAAATTCTCAGCCACTACTGCCAAAAGCAAAAGAAAATGTTAAAGATTCTCAACCGTCACTACTGTTGCACAAAAGATATAGTCAGCTTCCGCGTATTTTGGACATTCAGGATCAGTTTTTATGAATTTTCTTACCAAAAAAAAAATCTACTTTTTCTCGGCTTTCTGTGATTTAGAATTGATTAAAATCAAATGAAATCTGTCTTTAAACCTAAAAACCAATTTTTAATCGACTCAATAAAGAAAGGACTGATTTTAACCTATTTTATCAGTATTGTTTGGTGTAGTAGCCTACAGTATGACATGTGTGTCAAAGAATTCCAGCGTTGTATTTACCATTTGTTGAGCCAAGGAAGTCTAGGGAACTATTCAAAACTTTGATTTTCAAAATAAAAACTCGAGAAAACGCATTTTACGGTAATCGTGATTAAAATCTGTCAGAAACTGAATGATCTGATTTTAGACTAAAATCATATTTATTTTTCTTTTGAACTAACTTGTCTAGTTTCATACTAGCTACTTCTCTATTAGTATTTGCTACCTTTTTTCATTTCAAAATCTCTCGAGAACAAAGAATCATGAAAAACCTTAAGCCATCGCCGACCAGCTAAACTTCTTCAGCCGCCGCCGATCAATTCATTCGCTTACACCTCTATATATATATCGAATGTAAGCAACTACAGTAACATCTAGATGTGTAAGTTGATCAGCTGAACAACTGCCGCCGTGATACAAGAATAGATATTTGATTTTAAAAATTTTCCGACGTTTCAAATCAGTTTTTGTCATTAAGAGTTCTCTGTCATCGTATTCATTTCAAAATTTCTTACAATCGAGAGAAATTTTTTAAAAATTCATCAATTTTGATATAATATATAAACTTTGATGACATAAGAAGAATTTCAACATATTCGTTTTCTCTTGACTATCTTTAATAAAAAAATAAAAATTTTACTTTTTGATAAAAATATATACAAATAAAAAATCTCGTATATTCTTTCGAATTCTATCTTCCTAATGATCCGACAACAATTAATCTTGTAAATTGATTTAATTCATATTGAATTTTACATGAACGAAATAATAAATATTTTGTATCCATTTGTTCTTTACAACAAAGACTCTTCGGTAGAGTAATATTAATATTAATTCGATTTAATCGTGGTGTACGATATTCAAGAATTGATGCTAATGTATTTACTGATATATAACTTGGTCGTTGATATTTAACATCAAGTATAAAATATTCAAGATTAGGTACAAAAGAAAGTATTGAATCAATAAAATCATATGTTATTGGACAAAAAAGATAAAGAGTTAGATGTCGAAGTATTAAATGATTTTTATTTGTATTTAAAATTTGAATTTTTTCTTGATTATTTCCTCCATTAAGTTCAATTTTTAAATAAATTAATTTTGGACAAGCATTAAGAATTTGAATATAAACACGAATATCCCAAATATTAATTTGAAGTGATTGAAGTTTTAATGAATAAGTCCATTGATTATTAATTTCATAAGAAATATGTGGTAATGAACATGAATATAAATAAGGAAATTTATTAGAAAAAATTAAATAACAAAGTTGTTCGGTTCGATAAATAAATCTTGAATTTATTAAATATAAACGTTCAAGATATGGAAAATATAATGGTTGAATTGAATTCCATTGTTCACGTGTTGGTTGACAAAGTATTAAACAACGAATATGTGATATTAAATTAATTTTTAATGGATCATAAAAATTTTTTGTATGATTAATAATAAGTGTTTTTGTTTTAGGTAAAAAATATCGATTAACTCGATAATCAATATCTTCAGGTGTATAAAAAATTACTTGAAGATATTTAAAATTACTTAATAATGAATCAATACGAAAATTTAATTGAGAAAATGTTCTATATAATTCATAAATATCAAAATATTCAAATAATTCTTGAAATATTTCATTTGGAAGTTGTTCTAAAGTAAATTTATTATTCATCTAAAATTATTTTAATGATTTAATAAATAAAAAGATCATTTATTATTAAACAAATAAATAGACATTTTTTTAGCAAAACAAATTCAAACATGTATGTTATAATAAAAGAAGATTAAGTTCTATAGAAAATTTATTATTCCCTACTGATGTTCTAGATCCATTCGTGTTATAGTTTAGACTTTCAAATAGGAGTCGACTAGAGAATATTTGCAGGTGTCAAATCACTTTCAAACTGATATGATGTCTATTTCATGAATAATAAAAAAAGTCTAGAATTGTTTAGTTTTTCAAGTCTTCGTTCTTGAGATATCGAAATTTCATTAGGTTTTTCAACAAAAATCTATAATCACGTGGTAAAATCGATTTTAAACTTTACATGAATAAAATTCTTAATAAGATTAGTTCAGTGGACAAGTTTTAGCTTTCGTAGTATTTCTTTTCTGGGGATGCTAGAAAAATTACCGATAAACTAATCTTATTAAGAATTTTATTTGTGCAAAGTTTAAAGTTGAAAGGTCCAATGAAATTTCGATATCTCCAGAATGAAGACTCGAAAAATCAAACCATTCTAGACTTATTTTATTACTCATGAAATGAACACTATCTCAGTCGAAAAGCGCGATTTGATACTTGGAGTTTATATTTCAAAAATGCATTTCTCAAAAACTGTTCGGACAGATCAGTTTCTATTTAAAAAAAAAACTATTTGAACACTTCTTATAATCTTTATTTTCAAATGCATTGAATAAAAGTGCCGTTATCGGAGATTTGGATTAAACTTAAATGCTTAAGCTTACGATTCTCGAAGACAGCACAATCGATCAAGCTGAAATTTTTTCAGAAAGTAGGAGACAAATGTTCGAGGAAAAAAAAAATTTGAAGTAGATTATTGTGAGTTTCTTTTTTGGAAAATTCTAGTTTTCCATAGGGCTGTATCTTAGTACATTACGATTCTCTTCAAACTTTATCCGATTGAGTCTTCGAGAACCGGAAACGGTCAAAAAACAATGGACGGAGAATCCTTACGTTGCTAATCTCAGATAAACTGCTGAAAAACAAAGTATAATTTCCATATTGAAATATTATCTTATGGATTGGAAAATTTTTCAAACCAAATACAAAAAGAAAAAAACAAAATTATTGAACATGATGATAAATTTCATATATATTTTATGTTAAAAAAAGAAAATAATTTATACTTTTGAATTGTTTATAAAATTTGAGATTTCGTTTTATATGAGATTTGACTATGTTTTACTATCATTTATTGATGAAATAAGTAATCGACCAGGTGCATAAAATGATCGTGGACGAAATATAATATAATTAAAAAGTGGATGAAGTTTTTTTAATGATTCTTTTTCATTTTCAAATTCTTTTGAATCTGATTGATTATCATTTAAAGGAAGACTAATATGAATAAAACATAATTTTGTTAAAAAACGTGTAAATACAGATGCTAATGAATAAATATCTAATTTATTTTGTGATGGTGGAATACATGGACCATCAAATTTAAATCGAATTAAATTTGGTGTTAATGAAAGTATTGTTTCAATTGTTGAAAGATTTATTTCAATTGAATAAATACCAATTTGAAGATAACGAAGATTTAAATGAATATCAAATGATGAAAATTCATTAATATTATCTTTTAAATTTAAACGTAAATATTTTAAATTAGAACATAATGAAAGTAATCGTCCTGGATTTTGTGTATATGTAATTAATGAAAGAAGTGTTGGTTTAATATGAAAAATATTTTTATCAAATTGTATTTCATCAATTTGACATGTACGAAGACGTGGAAATGAATTTGTTAAAAATAATAAAGATAATTGTTCACTAATTTTACGTTTATTAATTGTTGATTCAATATGTAAATGTTCAAGTATTAATGATGATTGAATTTCATTACATTGTTCAATTGTTGGTAAAGCTAATTTTAATGAACGAAGTTTAATAAAACGATTTAAATTTAAATAACCACCACGCCAAATAACAAGTCGACTAATAGATGTTGAAAATATATCAATTATTTTATCATCATTATGTGTTGTCCATTCAGCGAATAGATTTGATAAATTTTTTAGAATAATATTAATACGTTTATTAAGACCAAAAAATATTCGATATAAATCATTTAAAGGAATATATTCAAAAAGTTCATAAAAAAGTTCATCAGGAAATATTTCTAATGTCGAACGATGTTGTATAATGTTGTCACTCATATCTTCAAATAAACAAAAATATATACGTAAAAATGTGGAAGAAAATAAAAAAATTTTCTCCATGTTATTTCACAATATAGTGACATACCAATAAGTTTCGTAGTTTTTTTTTACTTACATCATGTGCATTTCTATGTGAAGAAAAGAAGAAAAAAAAACGAATGATAGTCTAACATATGAATCATTTAAAAAAGAATGATTTCGTGTTCGTGTTCTTATAAAATACCTTTTAACAAAATTTTTATGGCAATTAATTGCAATAGTGTAGGTGGTTATTATATTTATTTTGAAAATAAAAATATAGTTAATTACTTTTATAATGGAAATAATTATAGATAAATAGGTTTTTTGATTTATATTAATTTCAATATTTACACAAGAATATTACTATTTGATGAGCTCGACATATTTTAGAATTAATCGAAGTTTATTGTTTTAATTTTGATACTATCGAAGAAATAATTCATTATTTCTTAATAATATGAATCATTCGAATAAAAATCAAATATAAATCACGCGAATCACTCATATTTTAGATATACTTTAGTCAAGACTAGTAGAGTATGCTGACGATGTAAAATTGTATTAATGTGAATGGATCGTTCGTTGAATCCCTGTGGCACAGTGGACAACTAGGTGAATATGATCGAAAGTTGATATTGCCGAAATTCAAATATTGGAATAAATGCATCTATAGTTGGTATATCTTATCCCAAAAACAAGATCTCCAGAAATCAAGTTAATATGGAAATATTTTGAAATGAAAATGCTGTTAGCGTAATCCCTGCGGGATTAAAATATGAAACATGATCTAGCTGCTTTTCCTAATTGCAGGGGAATTTTTTACATTTATCTATTTCGAGGCACATTTCTAAAATATTGTTTTACCTATTCCTTCAAAACTGAAATCAAAAATTATTTTATACATTATAATAAAACGTTATTGATGCGTGGTCTTTGATCTTATATCAACAGTCTTTTATACTCGATGATTGCTTCTCGGAGTGTTTGTGAACATATTAGACGTGTTAGTTATCATCTGTGAGAAGTATTCTACTATCAACTAATCCTTAATTATGAGGTGAATAATCAGTCCTAAAGTAGCCGTTAATTAATTAATTAACTACTTAATTAATGAGTCATTAACCCTAATTAATAAGGCGTTAATTAGTTATTAACTAGCTAATTAATGAAATGTCTGACACGGTCTGTGATGGTTGCTAAGGATGCCTGTCACGTCTGTGATAAGCCGTTTCTAACGTGTCTGTCATGTCAGTGACGACTCGTTGCTAAGACGTCTGTCACGTCTGTGGAGGGGGGGGGGTCCAAATTTTGACCCCTAATATTTCAACACTCCTTTTAGATCGTGTTTCACAAAATATATTGAAATGAATAATTGGCCCATAAGCTTCAAATGTGTAAAAAAAAGTCATTTTGATTAAATCCGAAATGGAATAGAAAGAAGAAACGTGATTATTGAGTTGAAAGTAGCTCGAAACGACGATGATACTGTATTTTGAAACTGTGCAAAACAATTTGCAAGTTTTGTTGAACGTGAGTTTAGTTTATTCAATAACACTACCCGCAAAGTATATAGTAAAAATTGCTGAGAACTTTTTTCCCATACTTTATGTATAACACATAACAGAAAGGAATAAACCTATACATAGTGCGAGAACATAGAAAGGGAAAATACCATAATGGATATATCCTATAACTTGAAGATAATAATTCAATATATAATGTTTTTGCGTATATTGGACAAATCATTAACACAATTTAAGTTCAATTGATTGTCATGGATTATGTCTAGTTCATCGTTGATCATAACGCCATATCACACTTATGAGCATAGCCGGTCCTATACAAAACTAAGGCGATATTCATAGTCACGAAGTGAAATTTCGTCGAATGATGTACGGTAGATGATATTTTCTAATAGAAAAAGTTTTTCCAAAAAATGGCTTATTTTTTAAGTGACATAGCACAAAAGTTATCCATTGTGTGGATTTCGCGTGAACTCCAGCGTGATTCATTCAAATATTATCCATTAGTAATATTTATTGAAATCATGTTTTTCAAGGCTACATGTGGGACACTGATAAAATTACTCAAACATACACAGTCGTTTTTTGCTAAAATAGAATAACTTAAAGTTAGCGCGAATATTGAACAGTCATACAACCATTATACATATTAACAAACAAAAATAAAAACGAATTTAAATATATTATTTATTCTTAGCAATACATCGGAAGAATTTTTGATAAAGCATCAATATAAAGTGTTCCATTTCCCATTGATGGAATGAGTGAACCACTAGTTTCACTACATTCATTCCATGCATAAATAATAATTGTTTGTGCTTCAACTGTTTGATTGTAATTACATGTAAAATTAATTCCACTACGAATTAATTCTTGTAATTCATCAACTGTTGGTTGAATATAATGTTCTGGTCCTTCAATAACCCATGGTACAGGATTTTCAGCACGTGGTCGTGGATCCCAACCTGTTGGAGCTATTGGTACCATTTTAGCTCCAATATCATGAGCAGATTGCCACCATCTAGAATAAATTGAATTTATTTCTAAGATTTTTTTTGAATTATTTTCATTTACTGTTGAGCTGAATGAAATAATTCAACAAATGGAGTTCCCTAAAAATTATGAATAATATAGTATTCTTAGAAAAAAATTTATTTACATCAAGAGTTCCACCAGGTAATGCATATGTTGAAATAGCATCAAATCCAAGCATTGAAGCATGTGATTGAACTGTTGCAACATTAAAATCCATTAAAACCATATAGGGATTTTGAAGACCTATATGAGAAAGAAAAATAATTTACTTGAATATAATAAAAATAGTTCTTATTTACCTTGACTTATAGCCATTTGTCTAAATTTATTAAATATTTGTCCACTTCCAGACCATCCACATCCACAAATATCAGCTTCAGCATTATCAAATTGAAATAAATATACTAATGGACGACCACCTAATACAGTTTGAAATTGTGGTAATTTCATAAGATCAATATAATGTTGTTGAAAAGTTATATCACATGGTGAAGAACCTAATAAAATAAGAGTAAAATTTATTAAAGATTTATATACACTTGAAAGATATAAATTTAATCCATATGAAGGATTTTGAGGACAATATTGATTTGATGTTTGTTTATAATATTGAATACAATATGTATTATTTGTTGTACAATTTATTCCAAATTGACAATATGTATCAAATGCCCAATAATCTATACCAGCATGTTTAGCATAAAGAATTTCTTGATCCATAACATTTTGTAAATCACCATTGAAAGAAATATTTGTTGATGAAAGAACTGTTGCATAGAATGGTATACGATAATGAAATTTTTCAGGACTTAAAGCTCGATGTAAATAAAATGAAATAGGATCATATTGACTATTAAATAAATTCCAAGCATCCCAACGAATAACTCCTACCGATGGTCGATTATTTATATTGATTTTAGTCGAAATAGAAACTGATATAAAGAAAATTATATAGAAGAATATAATAGATGATAACATCTCTAATATTTAACTTTGTATTGTTGTTTAAAAAATAAAAGTTGCACACCTGTATGTTTATCATACTTGTTTATTGAAGTTATGCAAACTCATTGCGACATCTATTGTCATAAAGTAACAACATTTTTTTTTTAATATTAAGAAACTTGATTTAGAATAATGATTGCAATTTGTGTATTTATAATCAAAAGCTACTGCCAAACCTTATCATATAATTTGCAAAGATTTTATTAATACAGTAAATGTTAAAGGAAGTTTTGCATAATAAAAATATGTTTAGGTTAGAATGATGGTACAAATGTTTGGAAAATTTTTAGACAACATGTTTATTCATTTTTGACTCACTACTTAGACATACAAGCAAACAGGAAAAAACGGTGCTTAAACATCATGAGTTTCAACTATTTAAATAGTGTGATATGTCTCTCAAAATGCGTTTAAACACGGTTTTTGGGACATATCAAACAGTTTGGATGGGTGTAGCAACTTATGCTTATTGTATTGTGATAAACGATCAAGTAACATATATAATAGGAGATGGACTAAAATAATGTAAAAATAGAATCACTTAAGTACCGATAAGGATATGAGTGTGATAGAATAGAAGATACACATTAACGCTCAGATTCCACAACGTTGTTTATCACATAAGTCTCTTTTCAAACATGCTAAAAACTGTTGAAATCGGTTGTTTTGTAAAGCGGACAATAGGCTACAAAATATGATATTGAACTAAGCTGTATCGTTTATACAGGTGATGCTAAAAGCGTTTTTTCAATAGTTTCTTTCAATGTAAAACGATTGTTGGTTTTTTTCAAAAATGAATATTTTAGAAAAACGAAAATCGAGGTGCCTTATTGAAAGATTTCAAACAGTATATTTTGTAGGATAACTTCTGATCTACAAGTTGATATATAAATAAAAATCTCAGCTATTAGTTTTGAATCGCAGCCGTGAAAATACAAAAATGGACGGAAAAATTTTCGGTCAAAACTTTTTTTTGTGACTTTTCAAAGATTATTTGACTACTCTCGAATGAAAACTGAGACAAAATTTCTAAGCACATATTCGAAAAGAGCATCCTAACTCTCAACATTTGACTCATTTGAAATGCTTTCTAACGGATCAAAAATAAATATACATCTTTAATAAAAATTTTCTGACAAGCCGTTAATTGCAAAAATCTTGATATATTACTAGTCTATATTGGCAATGATTTTGTTTACCCATTAGCCTATTTAGATGTTGCTTTTCTTATAACAATGTCAAGACTAACGATGACGATGTGTCACGAATACTCATCAGCTATGATAAAAATGATTACAAATTCTACTTTGAGTAATAAATCCACATCTCACATCTAAATCGAACGAAAATAATCTGTTTCAATTAGGTCTAAAAGAGAATTTTTGTTTCAAAAAAATGCTGCTTTGTAATAGATAGAATTATTAAAATTAATTCACATCAAATGTAAAATAAAAACAAGTCTTTATACTGCAATACATTAAAAAGTGAAATTTGCATTTAAAAACAAGAATAAATAATGAATTCAGTTCTTCTTTCTGATAGATGAAAATTGCATCGGCTTTTAAAAAAATACTTGAAATTATATTGCTCCTGTAAAATAAGAAGAAGAAGAAAAAGAGATAAATCATTTTTCGACCGAGACGATGCTTATTTGATGAGTAATAGAAAATTTAAAATTGTTCGATTTTCCTGAGCCTTTGTTCTCAAGATATCTAAATTTTACTGAGCTTTTCCACAAAAACCTGTGATCACATGCTTTTCTAGTATTTCATTTTTCCGAAGATTTAAATTTACTTCTACACATGAGCAAGCTTCGAATATTCAATATCTTAGGAAAGGAGATACTACGTGATCACAACTTTTTATTGAAAAACTATATCTCGAGAATGAAGGTCCGAAAAATGAAATCATTCTAGACTTTTCTCTTATTCTTTAGTAGTCATCAAATAAACATCGATTCAATCGAAAAACGGTTTGACGTCTGAAGAGATACTTTCGCCGTTTGACAAGTTAATATATAATGAGTCTAAACCAACGATTTCCATATTAGGAAACTCTCAGCTATTAACCATCATTTTCTGCGTTTCTATAGCTTCCGAACGGAATCGAGTTTTTCAAAAAAAAAGAACGGGTTTTGGATTGCATTGGTCACATTTTCACGATCTCGGCGAACTTTTTCTCTTATCGTGACAACTAAACGAGTGAAAAAAAATATGTCGGATATTGTGCATTGTCCAGTCAGCTGCCTTTCAGTAAACGAGACAAATGAAATTTGGGACATGAAAAAGTTTGTCCTACAAGACTGCAACGTTAGTTCTTCATTCTCCTTCATCCCTACTTTATTTTCTTCATGGACATTTCTGTATCAATATTTAAAAATCAGTTCATTTAAAATATTCAACTTTTGAATCACTAGACAAAAAGCAAAAAATGTCAACGAATTCAGTTTAGAAAATATTGAATGAAAATAGTTAATCATTCCTGTTTTGTTTCTCTACGTTTCATAAAAATGATGCAATTACATGGTACACAAATATCTATACTTTATTCCTACGTCTTTTATTTTTTCATGAGAACATAATGGATTGTATTTTTAATGCTCGAACAAGTCGTTATTTACCAAAAAATTTAGCTTCAACAACTGAAAATTATGAAACAGAACATTTTCATTATAATCATTCAACAAATTCACTTGATTGTAAACTTTTAACAAAAAATCCATATTATTCTTATTTTCAACAAATTTATCCAACAATAATCAATGAACATGAATTAAATAATGATATGTTAAATATTATTAAATCTTATACAGATAGTCATTCAAATGAATGTTATATGAAAACAAATTTGAATTTACTTAGTGCAAATTTTGATGATATTGATTGGTTATATGTTAATAAACTTCGTTCATTAATTCGAAATTTAAATCAATCAAATATAAAACATATTTATTATCGTGGTTTAACATTAAGTGATAAAGAAATTCAATATTATATAGATAAAAAAAATGAATTTTATTATACAAATTCATTTTTATCATTTACAATTGATCGTTTATTAATTTATTCAGGTAATTCAATAATTATATTAAAAACAGATAATTCAAGTGAATTAGCTAAAAAAAATATAGCTAATATATGGAAATGGAGTGCATGTACAGAAGAAAAAGAAGCACTTTTAGCTGTTGGAACAAAATTAAAAATTTTAAGTGTACATTATTTTGGTTATAAATGGGAAATTGAAGTTGAATTAGTTGAAGATGAAGATGAAAATTAATAAATTTTAAAAGAAAAAAAAATATTCAATTCATTTTACTAAATTTTTTGTAAAATTCACAATTTGTCTACTATCCATTTTCAAAATATATTGTGCTCCATTTTTTTTTGAATAACTTTCAATAGAAACATCATAGAGACCTGTGATTTTTACCATTGGTACTTCTGCAAATTGACGACACCTTTTACACCAATTGAAAGGACACATCGAAGAGTGCGAATGCCGCGGTGTCGCTGATTTTCAGATGTACCCTCGTTTAGGCTCAGGCTCGGCATTATGTATATCATAACTTCACATTGACTTTCGTTGATCAATTAGCACACCGTCATAATTATCTCGTTTATTTTTAAATGTTTTCGATTAACTCACATAAAATATACTTGCCACTCTCCCTTAATAGAAAACCTGTCTGCGGAGAACAATGTCAAATTCATAATAGAAGACCTAGACTGTTTTAAGAAAAAAAAATTCATTTAGATCTGTTTTTTTTTCATTGAATTATTGCTGAATAGTGTTTATTGGAGAATAAAAGTTCCGAAAGAATAGAAGAGAAAGTAATAGCTTATCTCCGGTATAATGAGAATATATTTTCAGTTAGAATTAATAACACGAGAGAAAAAGAAAGTACTATAAACTATTGTAGGAATAGAGAATGATTAATATTAAATCTCATTTGTATCATTAGAATGATACATTTACTGAATATATAAAGTACAGAGGAACAAAGTATCTCCAGAGAATATTTTCAAGACAGTCGTAGTAGATAGATCTCACATATATCAATCATCATAAAACAATATTATCATGCTAAGTTTTCAATACTGAATCAGAAAGCAATACTATTGAAGCTCATCTATAAAAAAAAGTTCTTCTCAAATAATTACCACAATATATTCGTGCTTCATTTATTACTATTATTTGATCGCGATAGTTGGAAGTCATTGCATGAGAATCAAAACTAATTCTACTGGTCTCTAATGATTTTGCCATGTAGATAAACATCAAACAGATAAGAAATATTCCACTGTAACATCTGGTAAAATATCTTTATTAGATTTACACTATTATTATCTCAGTAAATGACAACAGTCAAAATGAATCGATAGGACAGTTGCGCACTAAAGCCTGCGGATGAAAAGAAACATCATCCGGATACTAGAGTCTATCGGATCCAAGAATTTTTAGATCCGGACTCGGGTAGGATCCGATGGATTCTATCGTCCGTATATCATTTACATTCATAGATCATTAATGCTAAATCATACCGTTAACCACTACAGCAAAGCAAAAAAACGAATCTTTCAGTAACTCACTACGATCAAAAATCCACATATAGGTATTAACGATCAGTTATCGTCTCTGTAAAATCTCTCTCTCTACTTTTACTCATCTACTCTTATTGAAGTTTGTACATAAGCTTCCATCAAAATAATCGTGGTGTATGAAGATCATCCAAATAACTATTAACTTCTGGTGTGGCATCAGTTGTGTGAGTATTATGTTTATATGTTAAATTATATGTGTAATTGTTCATTGAATGAGGTTTACTAGTCCATTCAGTAATGAAGATCAATTGACGATGATAAGATGGAATGCAATCATGAGTATTCCAAGAAAATCGAGAATGTTGGAGATTTTTTGATTGAGTAATCATATTTGTATCAAAATTCAAATGATAATTTGTCGATCGATTTTCAACAATAAGTAACATCAATGCTATTTCTTTTGGTGTAATATAATAAGTCATGTCTTCTTTCTAGAAAATTTTTTTTTATTGAAATCAATAATTATTATTTATATATACTAACAAACCTTTGTTGAAATATGATATTTTTTTATCACTGCTGAAATAAGACAATCAGCAAGAAGTATCGGTGGTTCTAGAGCAATAGTCAAATCAATAGGAATACTTGAATGAATTACAAGAGTATAATCATTATTTTTTGTATCTTGTCCCCAGAAACTAATCGAGAAAGGTATAAGTATATAATTGCCAGGTCGTAATGAACCTGTCCAATAAGTAAATCCTCCTTGACGACTTTTAAGAATATTTTCATATTTTCCAATATTATCAAATGATAATTCTGTATCAATATCACATAAAACAAATGATTGTGTATGATAGGGATGTATTTTTCGATCATGACGATGATATATTAAACTTATATTAATCAATGATGTCCTAAAAATAACTATATAAATAAATAAAAGAAAAGAAAGAATTATACTAACTCAGAAATATGAAAACGATAACAAGGAACATGTTGTATAGATGAACAAGTAAATTTTCCTTCATGTCGTATATCAAAATGATCTTCATTATAATTTGAAATAGTTATTGTTGAAAAATAACGAAGAAATATTGACCAAGAAATCCAAAATGCACCTGAAGAATGAGATGTATCATTAATCAATCGTAATCGATCAAGAATAATTGATGTCACATATTTATCAATATAATTCGAACGAGCATGTGGATCACGAACAAGAACAAAACGTGATGAATAATCCGAAAAAGTATAAGCTGCCAAAATAGAAAATGCATGATTATTTGGAATACCTACAAGAGAATATTCTCTTTCATTCATATCTTTACGACCAGTTGATGCACCAATTAATAAACTAAAAAAACAAAAAAAAAAATAAAGCTTTTTCTATTAATATTTATTTCTTTAATTTACTTTGATTCGTAAGCCGATACAAGTTTAGCCCAAATAATATCATTATCAAGTTTTTCATCTGATAATTGTAGATCAATATAATCACATGGTGTTCCAGTTAATAATTGAAGACCTTCAAGTATACTTCCATTAATTAAATTATTATATGAACCAAATAATTTTGCACATGCTTTTTCAATTAATGGAACAAATAATTGATAACGTCTAGCTCGAGAGAATACAAGATGTTTTTGATTTGTACAAGGAAAATAATCATCAATAATAATTGTTTTCCATAGACCATTATAACAAATACGAACGAAATAGATACCTTCATTATTTATAGTTTGTGTAAGAAGAATATGTTCAAGTATTCGAGGTCGTTCAGTAATTAAAGCTAAAGCTGCCATTAACCAACAATTACCTAATGCACCTTGTTCAATATCACTTGGTTCTGGTGATGAAAAGACAGTCCATGAATGACAATGATCTTTATCAGATAATGGAAAAGTATCAGAAATTCGTAACCATTGAACAACATTACTGAAAGAATTTGAACCGAGAGAATGATTCGATGGAATAAATTGATCGTCGACAAAGTTTATTTCAGCCTTGATGACAAAAAAAAAAAGTTCCAATTAAATTAATAATTTTTTTTTTCTTTTATCGATGAATACCTCTTTACAAAATGAGATCATTTCTTGAAATTTAATTTCAGAATTTAATTCAAATTGATCTGGATGATCACGAATAGTAATCGATCTTGGTGTTAATTTAGTCAATGTTCTATTGAGAAAATCTAATTCATTATATTCCTAGACAAAAATATAAATTGTTTTTATTACTATTCAAAAAAAAGAAAAGAAGATTTTTACCAATGCTGGTTTTATTTGACAACAAGACTCACAAAATGCATTGTTTGCCTGATTTTTCAATTGACACCAAGGACATTTCCAGTTCAATTCTATTGAATCAAATACGAATAAGTCTTCATTAACATTAGGATTTGTATAATTGCATATTTCACAAGTAGAATAATTTGTACTAGGATTGTCGAAGAAACATTTTGGACAAGACCATTGATAGTTATTTAGAGGTAAGAAACTAGAATAGATATCATCGGAATCGCAAGGCATAGTTTTATTTGCAATACTACTAAAAAATACACATAAACCTGGAGGTTTATATTGTTGAGAAATGCATTGGAGAAAGCCAAATTAATTCTTAGAAGAATGTGTGTTCTTTTTTTCAATCCCAATCCAATAAACATGCTTGTCATTACGAAAAAATGAGATATTTACGCACATTTTCACTTCTTCTTTTTCGTTCTGTTGGAAGAAAGAAAAAGCCAAGTAAGAATAAACGTAAATACCAAGATAAAATTGACGATTTTACGACCATTCTTTTTCTATTGCATATGCTCTAACGCTTACTTTGTGACAAATTTCAAGTGAGTTTATCCAATTAGCTATTGCGTTTCTTTTTATTGTCATAGGAAATAACTTGTTACCTTATGGATTATTTCCAATGAAAATCGATAAATTATTTCTATTCAGCGTAATAGTTCGACTGTTTCACTGAGTAAGTTTGTGCTTCGTATCGCCGGATAGATTAGTTTCTCTTTATTGTTAACGAACTATTCAGAAGTATAGGGATCATTTTTGTCGACTGATTTCATGATAAATATGATATTTCGATCAATTCAATTGAATAATATTTTGATTGACAGTCCGAAGATAAATTTTACAGAGAAACCATGTTTTACGTTGATTAATTCTTAAAGATCTGTGTCAGAACGGTTAGTTTTGCTTACGAAATGAAACAATGTGGCAAGGCTTAATGCACTGATAGAAACAAGATAGAGAGCTGTAGTTTTCATCTTTAGAAAGAGGAGATCAAGACGCATCAAATTGTATATTATAAGTTTTTTCTAAGGTTTTCAATTGATTTTTTTTTAAATCGACATACTCTGCGAGATGACTATAGAGAGTTTTCATTTATCAAGTATGCATCCGAATCATCATCAATGGAAGCTTTACAAAATTATGTAAGCCTTAGATTTTTAGATTCTCTTTCCAATGGTGTGAAAACTGCAACGTTCAATCTTGTTTCTATTAAAAATTATTCAAAAAAAGATATTTATCCACTTTTTTTTTTATTAATGGACACTTGTATTGGACAAAACAATTCTTTAGAACGATTTCAAAAACTCTCATTTTGGAATCTATTTTATCTAATCAAAATTTGATCAAAAACTAACAACCACGTAGAAGGTTTTCATGGTCAATTAAATTCATATTGTCAAACGTATCCAAATCTGTAAGCCTGGATAAGATATATTCAGGAATCAGAAGAATCAATAATGGTTTGCGTTGAGTAAGAACAAGCTCAACAACGAATAACATATCCTAGAGGGGTCAAATCAATGGCAAATTCCTTGGATCTTAGTGGTTATCAAAAAAGATTACGTTCGATTTTTTATCGATACAGCTGATAAGGATGATCTTAATTATGAACAGTTAGATATTCAACTATGTTCCATAAATTATTTTTCTGCTTTTTTCTTTTTTTACATCATAAATCTTGTCTTGATTCTACAATGCGGATATTTTTCCTTAATTAGACAAAAAAAAACGTCCGCAATCAAGCTATAACCGTACCATCCTCAATATTGAAAATTGTACGAATTCGATGCACGTGAATGTGAACTAAAGATGAACACATCTATTCGTATTTAAACATCTCAATATGTAAATCGTAAAAAATGTTTGATTAGTCGCCAAAAACAAATCATAGTTTACGAAAAATCCATTTGTATGATATTTTTACCGACCAATCAAACATTTTTAATAGTTTGAAGCTTTTAATTATAACGTTTCTTAATGGCAATAAATGTTTCATATAAACTTTAGCAATCAGAATTAAAGGCACTGAACGGCATTTATCAGAAAACTTAGAAAGTTCTAGAACCTTCATTGAAATTTAAATAACTGGAGTACGTTTTTCAATATATTCTAAATAACACAGTTTCTGATATTTATGCAGATAAACGATTACATGATAGATATCAAGGATGATGTTTTGATTTTTCACAACTGTTATATGACCAAGACAAAAGCATAAACTGATTAAATTCTAAGTTTCAGGAATAATCAATATCAACGTTTCTAAGTTCATTGAAACACATAATAGTTAATCGTTTAGATCTGCTGTGGATATAATGAATCATTAGAAAAAAACTATAATGCTTTTGATATTTTATACTCAGTTTATTTAGTATAACTACAATGAAGCTAAAGACTACATGTCAGTTTCGCATTTCAACCTCAAACGAACTTCACTAACAAACGTTTGTTAGCAAAAGAGTTTATGCATTAGTCTGCAATAAATCTCAGTGTACGTATGCCTTATAAATGTAGATATCTATTGTTAAAATATTTAATCTATACTTGATGACAAACTAGAATCAATAAGTTTGACTCATATCAATGTACAATAAAGAGAACGTTTTCACTCTATTTAAAAAAAAAGGACATAATCCTATGATTTGTAGAGAACTTTATAATGAATCGTTGAAAGTATAATTTAAATCGAAGTGATGAAGTATCAACAAAAAAAACGAAGAGTTCATTCTTCGGACTTTCTGATTGCTGTCTGATATTTTTTCCTGAAAAACACATCAAGTTCTTCTTCATGGCTACACACTATATCTTTCTCTTTTTTTTTATATGAATTCTACTAAGATTTTTTTTTTTGAGTCCTAGTCGCGTCTTCTGAAGTTTATACAAAATCTATACTAAATACCTTCTGTTAGAATTCAAGATGATCATAATAATAGAATACGTGTAAAATTCAAATATGAACGATTAAAGAAATAAAAAGACTACGAAAATCTTTAGAATATTTTCAGATATAACATTCGAAAATTCTTCGAATTCATTTTATATCAATTAGAATCACAAAATATTTTCAATTGAATTCATAAAAAAGAACTCCCTTTTTTTTGTATATAAAGCGACAGTCTATAAGAAACAAGGTAATTAATCTGAAAATATCATGTTTGTACAAGTCGCTTAAAATCCAGATAATAGAAAATTTCTATGAACCAAAAAAGAAATCATATTTATTTATTTTACACAAAAATCCTGAATATATATGGGTAGTACTTTATTTTTATTCTACTTTGAAAAAATAAAGTAGGCAAACAATATATTTCATGCATTAATAAAGAGTTGATATTTTTCAATTTTACTTTCGTTTCATTTGTTGTGTAACGAAAACAAAATTATCATATATCGTACTAATATCAATGTATGATGTTGAATTAAGAAAAGTGACCAAAATTTGTACTACAATATTTTACTCTAATATATTTACTTTACTATAATTTCAATTAGCAAGATATAACTTTTATTAAAACAATAACATGTTAACAAAAGAAGTTAATTGTATCGAAAAATAATAACAAATTTTTTTTTTCTAACCACATGGCCTTTTATATTGTAAAGCTCGTTTTTCATATTCATTTGCACGTTGCAAACATAGTGTTGCTTGTTTCCGTAACTTGTTTTGCAAATCATTCCATAATCGTTCTAAAAGATCATCACCATGATCAAATATCATGATTTTATCACGATAATCCATTGCCCATTCTACATAAGTAGAAACTGATCCACAAAAAAGAAAGATCTGTTCAAGATTTGAAGATTCATAAATTTCTGAAACGATTTCTTTAGCAAACGAACCCGAAACAATAAGATAAATCGGTTCATTTGAATGAGATTGAACATATTGAATACAATCATTGACATCTGTAAATGTTAGTGCATCAGCAAGTTTGCTACGAAAACTATTCATTGGATCCGACGAATTGGCATCAAGCCAAAGAATTTTAAATTGTGCCATTATTATTTAATCGGTTTTGATTGAAGAAAATATAGTATATGTTTGAAGATTCTCATATGTGTATATATATATGCCTCGCTTGGAAAGAATAACTGTAGAAACGCACTAATCGAGGGAAGTATCCCATTTTGTTTTTGTCCTTTATGCAAGTACACAAGATATCATAGGAAATAACCTTTGTTTATCAACTATGACACATTTGGTCGGGTCACAATAAGAAAAAAATATTTTTTTTCTTTCTTCTTTTGTATGTGTAAATCGGTTTTTTCCAATAGAAAAAGGAATAGATATGGAGAAAAAACCAACAGAAGAGTACTAATCACTGACGATTATTATTCGGTTCACAACGAATAAACTCAACAAGAAAAGTATACTTCTGTACTTCTACGTACGTTTTTTTTTATACTTCCTGAAACCTGTCGATACTTAAATATATGACTTTAAACTTCTAGATATTTTATCATGTACATTAATACTTTTCTGTACTTCCCCATTGTTAATGATAATTACTCATACATTTACGTAGTTTAAAAGTTCATTTTGATTTTCATAAGATTCGTCGTATTTTCTTTTTTTTTAAATTTCATATCGGGAACTTTCTGCTATCCTATAGAGCCCTCCAGGTGCGTTGATCCAGTACTCGAAAGGCTTGACTATCACGTCTTATATTTCGTTTTGTTATTTTTGTAATATTTTATTACATATTGACATTAGATTTTTTTTCCTTCTTATCATCATTGATGTTCTTACTAAAGTGCATTGATAGTTCTAACGATAAAAAAAAAATGTAAGCTATTGAAAGATTTAAAAATCCTCATATCGAAAGAAGTGACATTTTTGTGTATGTGAATGATATCAAACAAGATTCACAATCCGAATGATGCATACCAAAGCATACAAGAACGAATTTCGTCGATAAGATTATATTGACGATGAAAGCCTATATGATTTTACTCTTGTGAAATACACTAATGGGTCACATTTACCTGTATATGTATACATGTGCATTTACTTTTTGATCAAATGAAAAACCTATTATTTAGTACTTGTGGGTTGAGACATACAATTTGTTTTTTTTTCATACGCCATTTATCTAATCAAATACAACGAATATTAAAACGTATGCGAACCAATGAATTATACTTGTCTGTTTGATGTAAATTTCATTTTTCTTTTCGTTATTCGAACTAAATAACTAAACATGTGGGTAGCAATGCTAAAAATAGAAAAAAATCCATTAGAAAGAAGTGTGAGTAGAAAAGAAAAAATTTCTCATCATGTGGAAAAAATCTAGTTACAACACAATCAATTATATCGCTTACAAAATCATATTTGCTTTAATTGCTGAATAAATATTTAATGAAGACTAATGCATACAATATTACCATATATCATACAAGACGAATGTTTTAGTTTTAATGATGTGAATAATCAATGAAGATAAAACTCTTCTCATTTTTCCTTATTTAAAGATATATGAACAATGATCAAAATTAATAATTGACATTATTTTAAAAATCTTCGCTGAAACATTATTGTACTGCTTGCTAAATTTACAAATGATTATTGATTATAGTTTCCTATGTAATTTTCTTTATTCTCAATAATGATTTTGATACAAAGAATAAAAAAAGAATATTACAATTTCAATAAGTTCTTTTAATAAGTTCAATACCAATGCACCTAATACATGCCAATCATTTTTTTCTTGATAAATCTGTGCTGATAATCGTAAATAACATGGAATATTACCAAGTTCAGGAATAATATTACTTGCTCCACTAACCATTGTATTGTATGTATTATACAATTGACCAACAATAATTTGACATTGTGTAAAATTATTTGTTGGTACTTGTACATTTGTCATAGAACTTTACATATTCTCTGGTGATAATATTTTTGTTTTCCATAAACGTGATAAATATCGACCACCATATTGTGCTAAATCATGATTATAATTCATAATACGTTCTTCACCACCTAATGATTGTCGATAATCTAATGCTGATAAAATAGCACAATATGGTGTTCGATCACGTGTACCTGTCCATAAAAATCTTGTTTCAAAATCTTCAATCATTGCTGAATCAACAATAGCTGGTGCAGGTACATATAAATGTTGATGATCATGTCGAACATAAAGTATAGCACTACTTTTACTTGAATATAACCATTTATGTGTATTGGTAAAATAATAATCAACATTTGACATATCTTCAATATTAATTTCAATATTTCCAAGTGCATGTGCTCCATCAACAATTACTGGAATATTATATTGATGAAATAATTCTACTAATTCCTTTACAGGTAATATTACTGATGGATATGCTGAGACATGACTAAATATAGCAATACGAATATTTATTGTAGAAGCATTAGCTTCTAATGCAGCAGTTATTGGATTAATAAATGATTCTGGACCAGTGACTGGCCATTGAATTGCTATATGTATCATTTCTGCTAAACGTTGTTTTGCTAATGTCACACATTGACGATATCCTGTTGCACCATCCATCCAATCACGCTAAATATTTAAAAATAAAAATGAACAGCATAAATCTTGATTAGGATAGAAATATTCAGTTTCACTTACAATCGATGATTCAATTTGTTCAACATATTTATATTGGGAATCAACAACAATTTTTGGTGTACCGCCATATGCACCATGGTTCTATGTAGCATATGTAAAATATATTTGTGATTGTAAAGAGATAACAAGTTAAGTTATACATACAAATTGATGAAATACAGTACCATTTTTAACAAAGAAAAAATCATATAATCGTTCAGGTCCAAATAATAGCGGATCTCTATTTGTAGATGATGTCGTTTTCGTGACAATTAGAACAAGAACAGTCACAAAAACTATGACGAACATTGTTGAATGATGATGCAGAATTAAATAAGTCAAAAAAAAAGAAAATAGACAAATGTGTTACCTACAAATATTTTCAAGTCAAGTATGAATTTTCATTTTGTTGAATAACTCTGTGTAAGCGGTTGGTCTGTAAATAGACAAAAAAAAAACACTGACCACACAAAGAAAAAACACCAAGGAGATAACTGTCGAGGCATGATTTTATGACTTTTATTCCTTATACTTAGCTGATTTCGATTAGAAAAATACAATTTGGATAAGAACTAATATGATATTCTGAATCAACATCCAAAACTGAGAAACTTACGTGTATTTCAAAAATTTTTGCATCGAATGCTCACTCCTGATTCTCGTAGGATTAGGTTAAAACAATGAATTTCATCGAAAACTTATTTTGACAATGGAAATCAAGTTCTACGACTATAAAATGATAGTAGAATTTCAATCAATAGATGAATAAACAATAAAAATAGAGTTTTCATGAAATTCATTTTTTCCTGTAACCTTGAGAGGATCTGAGGTGAATTTTTTGATGTACACGTAAATCCACTCAGTTTTGGATACAGATTCAGAATATCATATTAATTTTTATCCAAGTCGTATTTTTCTAATCGACATCGATTAAATATCAGACAAAAAAAGCCATAAAATCATGTCTCAACAATTGTCTCCTTGGAATTTCTTTATATGAGGGTGTGAGTGTGAAAGGAAAGTGTATCCACATCCATATCTTCACCTCTTACCCACATTTTTATAAGTCTTTGCTTTCTATATCTATTAATTTGTATATGATCTTTGTTACAGTATTATCATTACATCACAAATAAAGTGTATTTTGCTGTTCACAATTTTCTAAAGAGATTTTGTAAATTACTGTGTATGTTCATTGTGATAGCGATCACCTTCGATATATCTTCTTGGACATTTTAGATTGAATATATATTTGTTTTTTTGTTTTCTATTATTTATTATTGTTCACTTAACAATGAAAAGCTAACATATAATACTTTCCTGCTGTTCTCGATCATCTTGTGCTAGGCTCATTGGATAATTATAAAAAATTTTGAAAGTTAGTTTTCGTTTTTTTTTAATTGATAAAATGTGATACTCTTCAATATTTTGCGTTCATTCAGTCACTAGTTCTAGATGATTTTCGAAATCTGATAAAAGATATACACTTGCTTTGACGATTTTTAGCTGATTCTTCAGTCACTTCAGTTTTTGGCTGTCTATAATATGATGATTTTCACATGACTTTCTTGACTCTGGTGATATAAGAGTCAATTAAATTATCAAAATCAGTCATACTACAATTACATTAGAAAGTGTTGCATAGAATATTGTATATGTATGCTTTATTCGCTATAAATGAGAATCTCTACTGAACTAACATTACGTAGGTCCTTTTCTGATACTTAATATGCATCACAATATAATAATAAATAATTAGTCGATAGAACGAGATGAAAGTCATCAACAGTAAAACATTCATTTGATGATCTTTGACATCGACAATGGACAAACTATTCCAAGAGATTTTGTTAAATTATTGATGACGATATCGTCGTCTAAAAGATATTCAACACAGAATAGATGTGTATGAGTTGTTTGTACATTAATCATTGAATCAAAGATCAAGTGACTTGTTGACAACAATTTTTATCAAAGAAATAATTCGATATTTTGCAAAAATTCCATAATAAATACATTCTAATTCTACATCTTTTCATCGTAAACATGATTAAAGATAATCAGAATAAAAAAGAAGACATGTAAACTCAATTTTCTATCACGACTTGTGAGCTACGTTGTTTATGCTCGTGTTTTATATAGCCACACATTACACAAAAACACTCGGCAAATATTTTTTTTCTTTCACTCACTGTCGAATGTCACATGACACATGTAAGAGAACGTTATTAGTTTTTTTCTTTTTTGATGTCGGTAAAAATACAAAATATTTCATTGAATCATTCTACATAAGTCAGTAAGATAATTATAAATGATATTTTGTTTAGAATAAATAAAGCCAGCGTCTAAGTTCGTATTAAAAAAATGACAACTACTTCAAATCATCCTCAAGTTATTTTTATTGGTATTGCTGGTCCATCGGGTTGTGGTAAAACAACTTATGCTAAACATTTAGTTGAATATCTTCATTCACCATTACATCTTATTGAATTAGATCATTTTTATATTCGTTCAATTACTATTAATCATCCTATCCTAGGATGTATTCAAAGTGATGAAGAACCTGATACTTTACATATTCAATCTTTAGTAAATTTAATACGACAGATAAAATATGAACCAGAAAAAATAACTCGATATCATCGAAATGATATTTCTATCAAAGATAATCAATATATATTTGTTATAGTTGAAGGTTTTCTATTATTTGCTTTATCTGATGAATTAACAAATATGTTCGATATACGAATATTTTTTGAATCAACACAATCTCAATGTCGTATGAAACGTTATCGTCGTCAATCGAGAATTAATGATACAATATCTGATGAACGAATACTTATTCCAAAAGAATTTCAACAATGGTTTGATTATTTAGTTTGGGCTGAATATTTAAAATGGCGTGATTTACAAATATCAAAAGCTGAAAAAGTATTTCATTTCGATGAATATCGAGATAAACAATATATACAACTTGATAATTATATTGATAAACGTTTAAAAGATCTTATAGATCGAAGAAAAACTTAATCTGTATTTATTTTTTTCTCAAACTATTAATCTTGCTTTTTCTTTCGATTACATCATTATATAAGTCTATTTATAACTTTAAATTCTTTCTTTTTTCTATCTATGGTCGATCGTAAAAAGATAAGTAAAAACGAAACAGACTACAACATATAAATTCATCATTATTCAATTATTTTTAACCAAATAAAGTCGTATGTCATCGTCGGTATCTACTTGTTTCACATCATCAACAATTATGGCGTCGTCTTTTTTTACGTCCTGATTGTACAAATGGTCATATTGGTGCAGTTCATGTTCGACATATTGATAAATTTATTTCTATGCTTGGTACACGTTGTGCATCATCACTTATTTATATTGATTTACCTGTTGAATTAGTTACAGTTGAAATTTTACGTGTATTAGCATTACATTGTCCTAATTTAGAATATTTAACACTTGATTTTTCATCAGCAATGCAATTACATGATTTTAGTGAATTAAATGAATTTCCATGTAATCTTAAACGTTTATGTATTTGTTTATCTGAAGTTATTTTTCTTGAAGCTTTTATGCGTCGAATTTATGGATATATATCTTCATTAAATACATTACATATTATTGGTACAATAGAAAAAACTTCAATATCATCATCATCATCAGAAGAAGTTGATACATTTGAAACAATAAATATAAGTAAAATAAAAACACATGCACCAAATTTACGTGTTATTAATTTATATGGTATTGGTTTTATTGATGATAATCATATTGAACTAATTGCATCTGGTTGTATGCATCTTCAATGTCTTGCATTAAATTTTTGTATTAGAATACGTGGAACAAGTTTTAAAAATTTAATGAATCGTTGTACAAAATTACAATGTTTATTATTACAAAATACGGGTAAGAATAATAATGAACATAGTTTAATAGACATTTCAAAGGCGGTATACACAATTCTATTTTCATTGATAAATTATTAATAATAACTTGACGTATGATATTTACAGAAAAAATATTATCAACAATGTTGTCTTATCGATATATGTCCTTGACGAAGTTATTCAAAGAAATAGACGAGTTTTTATTAGATTTTTTTGTTTTGAACACTTATAATTATAACTCGTTGGGTTGGGCTCTAGTCGTCTGAAAACTGTGTACAGCGTGCGCTAATCATCAATTACAAAAAGTCGAAAGAAAAAAGTATCTCGTATCTTTGGAGAGACTATCTAATTCCGATTAGAAAATTTCATTGAGAATATTAAAATGCAGTTCGATTAGGTTCAAAAATTTTTACATCCGATGAACTCTACTTGTGATATAAAATTAATTTTGTAATTGATATTGATAGGTATTCAAGATGAAGCAATGGTTGCTGTTAATTGGTCATCAACTCAACTTTCTGAATTAGATATTTCATCAACAGAATTAAGTGAAAATGGTCTATTGGATTTTTTTTCTGTTGTACCAAAACTTACATATTTAGCAGTTTCTTATTGTGATGGTTTTACTGATAAGGTAGGTAATCATGCTGGTTTTTTTCTTTTGCTTCTATATTGTATTTGTTATCTTTCATAAGAATATTCTTCTTTTATTTTATTTTTTTTTTTTAGGTATTAAATTTAATAATCGATCGAGGTACATTAAATGGATGTCGAGCACTTGATTTAAGTAATACAGTAAATTTAAATGTTGAAACAGTACATCATTTATTAACATCAACACGTCATGTTACTTATCGACTTGAAGCATTAAATTATACAGGTCATGATGATATTACAGAACAATTTTGGATTGATACTATACGATTTCTTCGTCGAATTAAGTAAGAAATATTTACCTTTTTTTTTTCTTTTCTTATATATGAAAATGCTATTTTTTGTTTTTAATAGAATACTAATTATTGGTACAGCACATAGTTGGTTTCGACAATTATCACGTCGTATACATATTGATCAAATATTAGAAGCATGTGCAATACATTGTCCAAGATTAACACGTTTTGAAATTCAATGGGATCCTGAAACATTATGTTTTAGTGAAAATTCATCGAAATTTATCGATCATCTTAGGTATATTATCTATTTCATTTTATTGATAAAAATTATTTGAATAAATTTATTTATTTTTTTTAGAGTACGATGTACAAATTTATTATCATTTGTTCTTTCCGATGGAGTTTATTATGAAGGAACTAAAGCAAATTTTGAACGTGCTGAACGATTTAGTGTAGTACGAACAACAACAATGTATCAAACAAGTATTGTTAGTGCACTTAGTTTTTATAATGAATTAAG